GCCATGTATTTTGTTTTCATGTTTGGTGGCTGTAGCATGTTCATTTCGTTGCATTTAGATGCCTACTTGCTGTAAATCGCAGACCGGTGTCATATCTTAAAACGCTCGCCATTTCTAAACCGTAGCTCCGATTCCTATGATCTTTATATCGTTTTCAAGCGATTTCATCCCCTCTATCCAGTGGCACACTTGGTTTCCCAAGTTGATGCCAGGTTCATGCATTTTCTGTCATATCTTGCATTTTGCATCCTGCATCGCATCCCGCATAGCATATCGTCATTTCATCATATTGCTTGGTCTTGCCCGTGGTTGATTGTATCCTTGTTGCTTGTTTGTCTTGTTGGGTAGAGCCGGGAGACGAGTTCGCTACCGAGGAGCCCATTGAGTTTGCTTGTGAGGATCCAGTCAACTCTGACAACTGTGCAGGCAAGATGATCATACCCTCGAAATCACTACTATCTTTGCTATGCTAGTTTGCTCGCTCTTTGCTTTGCCACTGCTACGATGCCTACCTTTTGCTTGTCAGCCTCCCATTTGCCATGTTGAACCTCTAACCCACCATTGTCCTAGCAAACCGTTGATTGGCTATGTTACCGCTTTGCTCAGCCCTTCTTATATCGTTGTTAGTTGCAGGTGAAGATTGGAGTCGTTCCTTGTTGGAACATTTATTTACTTGTTGGGATATCATTATATTGCTATGTTATCTTAATGCATCTATATACTTGATAAAGGGTGGAAGGCTCGGCCTCTCGCCTAGTGTTTTGTTCCACTCTTGCCGCCCTAGTTTTCCGTCATATCGGTGTTATGTTCCCGGATTGTTGCGTCCCTTACGCGGTTGGGTTATAATGGGAACCCCTTGATAGTTCGCCTTGATTAAAGCTTTTCCAGCAATGCCCAACATTGGTTTTACCATTTGCCACCTAGCCTCTTTTTCCCTTGGGTTTCCGGAGCCCGAAGGTCATCTTATTTTAACCCCCCCGGGCCAGTGCTCCTCTGAGCGTTGGTCCAAACTAGAGTCCTGTGCAGCGCCCCCTCGGGGAAACTCGAGGTTTGGTTTTAGTTGTACGGAGCGCTCATCTGAGTGTGCCCTGAGAAAGAGATATGTGCAGCTCCTATCGGGATTTGTCGGCACATTCGGGCGGTGTTGCTGGTCTTGTTTTAACCTGTCGAATCATCTTGTTGTACCAAGATACCGAGTCTGATCTGTGTGTCTTGGGTGGAGGTCTATTCCTTCGTTGACCGTGAGAGCTTGTTATGGGCTAAGTTGGGACCCCCCCCTGCAGGGTTTGATCTTTCAAAAGCCGTGCCCGCGGTTATGGGCGGATGGGAATTTGTTAACGTCCGGTTGTAGATGACTTGAACTAAACTTAATTAAAATGAATCAACCGTGTGTGTTACCGTGATGGCCCCTTCTCGGCGGAGTCCGGGAAGTGGACACGGTGTTGGAGTTATGCTTGCGCAGGATGTTCCTTTAGCTTCTCGCTCGTGCTTCGCCTTCTCTTCTCGCTCTCTTTTGCGTATAAGTTAGCCACCACATATGTTAGTCGCTTGCTGCAGCTCCACCTATATCTGCCTTATCCATTCCTATGAGCTTAAATAGTTTTGATCGCGTGGGTGTGAGATTGCTGAGTCCCTGTGGCTCACAGATACTACAACTCCAGATGCAGGTCCAGGCGTTTCTGCTCCAGTTGACGATTACGAGCTTCAGTGGGAGTTCGACGAGGACTCTCAGCGATACTATGTTTCCTTTCCCGATGATCAGTAGTGGTGCCTAGTTGGGGTTATCGATTCAGGACCTTGTCGCATGTTGGGGGTCTTTTCTATTTTGGCGCCGTAGTCGGGCCATGAGTGTTTGTTTGATGGATGTTATTTATGTACTCTGATGTGACGTGGCGAGTGTAAGCCAACTATGTTATCTCCCCCTTTTATTATGTATTACATGGGATGTTGTAATGATTGCCTGACTTGCGACATTGCTTTCAATGCGGTTATGCCTCTAAGTCGTGCCTCGACACGTGGGAGCTATAGCCGCATCGAGGGCGTTACACGAACCACCGTGCTTCGTTTTTTTATTGATATGCATAGCTAGGATCATTGCAAGATCCTCCTTCTCTTCCATATCAAATTCTTCTTCGGAAGAATCATACGACGAACTCATCTACAATGTTCAATACTATGCTATAAAAACTACAATCAACATGCACCAAATTCATGAAGTTTGAGCAATACATACCTTATAGGCATTTTGTCGAACACCTTGCGGGCGCCGAGCGGCAGCAAGCTCTCGGGCGCTGTTCGTCGGAGGACGGACGCGCGCGAAGGCCGGCGGCACTAGAGGGGGGGCGGAGAAGCCGCGGCGGCGCGGGAATAGCCGGGAAAGCGCCGGAACGATCGCCGGGGGGCGCAGGCGGCAGCGACGGCGCGGGTGGATGGGGATGGAAGTTGGAGAGCGAGCGCGCGAGAGTCCAGCGCGCGGGAGCGGGCGCAGCAAATAAGCGGCGCGCGATTGCGTTTCGGCCAGCGTGCTGAACTACATATGCCGCGCGCCCTATTTTTGCGCGCCCGCTGAAGCAACTATACCGATTGCGCGCGAAAAAACGTTTAATTTTACGGCGCGGCGCTAGTTTAGCGCGGCCCTTGGAGATGCTCTAACACAAACATAGCCGGTGCATCAATGCGCCTCCCTGATCTGCATATCTCCAGCCCGAAATCTAATCAACTATTCCGGCGGACCGAAATCTCCAAATCAATTGAAGAACCTCCCACGTTTCCGTAAAAGAAGCCAGCGTCATCACAGCAAGTAATCATCCATCCCCAGGCAGCACCTTGCCATAAAATAAATAAATAGGCTTTTTGGTGGGGAATAAATAAATGTGAACTTTTTTTAGTTGAAAATAAATGTGAACTTGATTAGCGACGGGACAATGGAGGCAGCGCACCAGCAGCACCGGCACGGGAGAAACCTCAAAAAGGTGCCGCCCCACCCACCCCACCGCACCCGAAAACCCCACTCAATCCCAGTCCAAGCCGCTACGCTAGAACAAGCGAAGAGAGTGAGATTGAGAACCAGAAGCAGAGCAACACGCGGAGGGGATGGGCGACCTGGCACACTCCCGTGGCTGCTGCCCACGCGACCCGCCCATGTAAATCTCCCAAATCTCACTCGCCAGAACCCCACTCCCGATACCAGTCGGTCAGCATACCCCAGTCCCCGCCAAGGACGAGGCATTGCGAGGTCGGGCCCGGCGGCGGCGGCGGCGCGGAGCAGCCACGGCGCCAGGAATGAAGGGGGGCAGCGGCGGCGGCAAGGAGTCCGCCACCGGCTCCTTCCTCCGCTTCCTCCTCCTGCTCCTCCTCCCCCTCACCGCCCTCTATTTCTTCTACACGCTCCACCTCCTCCTCGCCTCCGCCGCCTCCTCGTCCGCCGCCTCCTGCCCGCCGGACCCCACCGCGGTCTCCTCCCGCGTCTCCACCAACCGCACCGCCGCGGCGGTGGTCGACAATAAGGCCGCCCCCGCGGCGGCGGCGGCGTCCACGGCCACGACGCTGCAGCACGTGGTGTTCGGCATCGCGGCCTCGTCGCGGTTCTGGGACAAGCGCAAGGAGTACATCAAGGTGTGGTGGCGCCCGCGCGGCGCCATGCGCGGCTACGTCTGGCTGGACCGCGAGGTGCGGGAGTCCAACATGTCCACGGCGCGGACGGGGCTCCCGGCCATCAAGATCTCCTCCGACACCTCCGCCTTCCCCTACATGCACCGCCGCGGCCACCGCTCCGCCATCCGCATCTCCCGCATCGTCTCCGAGACCTTCCGCCTCGGCCTCCCCGGCGTGCGCTGGTTCGTCATGGGCGACGACGACACCGTCTTCTTCCCCGACAACCTGCTCACCGTCCTCAACAAGTTCGACCACCGCCAGCCCTACTACATCGGCTCCCTCTCCGAGAGCCACCTGCAGAACATCTACTTCTCCTACGGGATGGCGTACGGCGGCGGCGGGTTCGCCATCAGCAGGCCGCTGGCGGAGGCGCTCGCGCGGATTCAGGACGGCTGCATCAGCCGCTACCCGGCGCTCTACGGCAGCGACGACCGGATCCAGGCGTGCATGGCGGAGCTGGGGGTGCCGCTGACCAAGCACCCGGGGTTCCACCAGTACGACGTCTACGGGGACCTCCTGGGCCTCCTCGCGGCGCACCCGGTGGCGCCGATCGTGACGCTGCACCACCTGGACGTCGTGCAGCCGCTGTTCCCCAACGCGCCCGCGCGCCCTGCGGCGGTGCGGAGGCTGTTCAGCGGGCCCGTGAAGCTGGACCCGGCGGGGATAATGCAGCAGTCCATCTGCTACGACGGGGCGAACCGGTGGACGGTGTCGGTGGCGTGGGGGTTCGCCGTGCTGGTGTCGAGGGGGGTGACCTCGCCGCGGGAGATGGAGATGCCGGCGCGGACGTTCCTCAACTGGTACCGGCGCGCCGACTACACGGCGTACGCGTTCAACACGCGGCCCCTGGCGCGCACGCCGTGCCACAAGCCGGCCGTGTACTACCTGTCGTCGGCGCGCAGCGCGGAGGCCGCCCGCGGCGGGGAGACAACGGTGACGCGGTACGAGCGGTGGCGCCCCGCGAACGAGACGCGGCCCGCGTGCCGTTGGAACATCACCGACCCGGACGCGCATCTCGACCACATCGTCGTGCTCAAGAGGCCCGACCCCGGGATATGGGACCGGGTAATCCCCTTCGCTCCTTCCCTTAACTCAATTCCTTTTTCAGCATATACTACTAATATACAAATGGCCCAATTGCTGATTAAAAAGGAGTATACATACGCTTAACTGTCCAAAATACAATTGCAACACAAGATAGTTAAAAATTCCAGCAATGGTAGGAGAAGCGTATCAACTGGTAATTGCGTACTAGGTTTGGTTGACTGCCTGAGCGAATGTTGGTATACCTTTAAATAAAGGATTAATGATGTGTGTGGAAACATTACTTATATTGCCTTTGGCAAGTTTGTTTACTGATGTATGGCTCACATGGATGTTGTGCAGTCACCGAGGAGGAACTGCTGTAGGGTGCTGTCGTCGCCGAAGGTGGGGAAGGAGGGGAAGAAGACGATGACCATCGACGTGGGCGTGTGCAGGGACGGCGAGTTCAGCCAAGTACTCTAGGTCTAGCCTAGCCTGTTAGGAGAACACTGTAGGACGATTCAATATTTTTTTTCTCTCTTCTTGTATTCTTGCTGGAAGGTATAACAAACGAGAGCCTCCTCGTTCGGTCATCTCCTGCCTGTGTACCTACCGTGCTGCTGCTTTGCGCCTCACGAACGAGCCATCACCAGGCACGAGAAGGACTCGAAGCTGTGGCCGGACTTCCTCAGCATCGTGCCACTGCTGCCCCCACAACAGTTGAAGGGGACGTGGCATGGCATGCATGAATGCAGGCGGGTTCGCTGTGCTAAAAGGCGTGTGGGGCTACTGGGATTTGGACTTGGGGAAAGCTTGGCTTCAGCCTTTGGTGGCAAGATCCAGGCGTTCGGCCAACACCCACGCGGGGTGTGATGGCAACAGCCAACAGGAGGAGCACGGTTCTGGTGCGGGGGCGTGTGTTTGTGTGTGAAACTGGGTCAGCCCGCGTCGGTTTTTACTTCGTTTCTGGCAGCCGGCGTGGCTCGCCTCGGCCGTGACGGGCAAGACGGCAAAGCACGTCCGGCGACAGGGCTTGGCATTCTTTCTGGCAACAGGGACGACCAAATCTACCAGCCCATCCGCCCGAGACATATTTAAGGTGATGTGGAGAGCGTTCATTCATTCCTCCGAACCATCAACAACAGAGCTATAAATGCTCGCTGAGGCCGATTCAACAGGTGGCACACCGTCGCAACCAAAAACCATTTACACTTGTCGGCACGCACATGGCCATGAAAAGGGGGTCACACGCCAACGTTCTCCCGTGATTCATGTCGCTCCCGATTCCATCCTAGTCCTAGAAACGAGAGCGAAAGGCGTTGCCTAACTCGAGTATTTTATGCCATTCCTGTGTTAATGATTCCCTAGACAAGTCTACAGTGTCAATCGTATACTAGTAGCAGCGATATATTCTTTTATCGAGCGACGACTTGTTTAGGGTCTGTTTGGTTCCAACCAAACATTGGTCGCGCAAAATCCATTGTACGTTGTTTGGTTTGTTGCCAAATATATTTGGCTGCCAACGAGTCCTTTGTTAAATCTTTGGCCAAGCCTGGCGGTGGAATCTCTCGCCAAATAATTGGCGAGCCAATATTGGCTACGGGCAAGAACCAAACATACCCTTAATCTCTGACGTACTCAACGGAGTACTACAAGCAAATTAACAAGCACATGCATAGGACTATAGTAGCCAGATCTAGAGATAAAAGCCGAACGACGCGTGTCAACATGGTCCCCGACACACCGATTCAGGACAAAGGTGTCTATCACGCCTAGTCATGCATCAAAACAACACTTGCACGCATGTCGACGTTCCAGCATTTAGAGTTCCAAGGCCAAACGGGATACTCCTGGGCCCTGATGCAGACCTCCAGTGGATCATGCCACCCCATGTGTTTCAAGTTACCACAACTGAACACTGACGAATCGTGGTAAACTACTCGCTAAGCAGTAGTATCAGCGTACGTAGCAAAATGTCGTAACGCAAGACTATATTCTCCGGCAACGGATGATGTATGTTTGCCGAATTGAGGACAGGCAACAAAAGTCCCACCTTGGTTCCAAAAGAGGTCCCTGCCTTCGCACGCGCACCAAGCAAAATCTCCTCTAACCCTCCGCGTATGTACTCCTCCAGGCTAACGACGTTCACCTGCCAACGATACAATTCCCTCTGTCATTTTTTCCCCCTACAAAACTAGCCTGTTCAAAACTGTAATAAGCAGCCAAACTTCTATTACTAAAGGCAATGGGGTGAAAATGGTTCATCCAATCAATCATGTTTGCTTAGAATAGTACCGACTGAAAAATGAGCAGCTCACATTACAGGTAAGCTGCGCAGCCAAATATTGACTTACCCTACTTGAGTTTGAGAAAACATCAGAATCAGCAGCACTGCGTGGTGCTTCCAAATTCAACGCCATGTGACTTGATAATCCTGGCAGCTCCTAGAAGAATGTCCTGTTCTGCATATATCAACTCGTCCTTTCTCTGAAAGTGTGCAAGAGATTCATGCCAAACAAAAAGGACGATAAGTATTCTAAACTTGCAACAGAACAGCAAAAACATTGTTCTATATGGCTACGCCCTTGTGGTGATTGTGGATGATTACAAACTATGAATAACTCTGGGAGACGTTTTGCATTACTGTAGAACATCAAACTGTTTAATCTGGACAGACTCTGACAGAAAATCGTTTTGTGTTATGTTCATTTCGATGAGACATTATTTTGGATCACATTTCTTAGTCTTGTTGCAGCACAACTCCAGAACAGCAACAGATAACAGCAGCTTACAAGTTGGATTCAACAGAAGAGATTGATATGATGCAATGCAATGTAGTAAGCGTTGATCACCAATTTATGCTAAAGGCGTCGACCCAAAGGGATACATAAAATTTCAAGCCATATGTTTTCTGCTACTCTTGACCACTGACCCATGTCAAAGACAAAAATGCATGTATGATAGACAAGTGTCTATCATATGACCTTTTAAGTTTTATCTGGTCCTTACTGTGAGAATTAGCCACTGAAATCCAACATAATAACTTTGAATGAAATAAATTGAACGCACCATTTTTTGGAGGATGCACCCTATGACAAGCTCTCCATATGAACTTTCCAATCTTGACAGGTAGCAGTAAGGAGCATCTGTTTCCAAGATAACTTTTGGGTTGGACCTTAACATAGCCTTGATCTCCTCTGCTACAGCAGGAACCTTCTCAATATCCTCAAGTCTTATAGGAATCTTGGTCACACTTACTCGCCACTGAGCTCGTGATCTATTCACTATGATCTGCAATTTTTCAAGAATGCCATGAGAGAAGGTAGGTCAACCCTGATACTGATAATCCTATGATTGACTAAAGAAATTTAAACAACATTATTTTTTACATGCATTGTCATCTTTCTATGATTTGTCATCTTTCTGGGTGATTTTAACTAATAAAATGAACAAAAACATTTGAGCAAACTTCTCCTACTCCAAACTTCATACAGAAGAAGTGCATCATTCAAAGTTAATTTCAATCCCCAAAATTCATGTGTCCATTACAACTGCAATGAGGCTAAATGTACAAAGTTCAACTCAAGCAAATCCTGAACTTCAAAAAAGGCTGTATCCAGTCTCAGTGCGAAAAGTCCCCACATGTTGTGGTCTGAGGAAAACCCTAACAAATTAAATTTCAGTAGAAAGTAGTAAGCTTTAGCAGTGTAACTGATAACTACTGTAGAAGTTAAGTTCTGAATTTGTCATGCTTGAGCTATAACTGAAAAGTATACTATAGCTAATCATAAAATAATTGCTCTTACATGTGATACATGTGCGAGGTTACCACATATTCTTGTTTGCATGTTTCCTAGGTGTTTCGGATGTTGTTTATGCCTTTATGGTGTATCTAAAGATTGTCGCATTGAGTAAACATATCAAGGGTGTTACTATTCCAAGCAGTTGAATATCATAAGATGGTTCCAGCGCCATATACTGATATACATACATTTAAATGTGGATACTGATTCAAGTTGCCTTAACCAATCCATGTGACAGAACATTGCAGCACAAATTGCTAACTATAGGAAATTCAGCCTATAATAGCGAGTGATATCGCACCATCCAGTGATAAAGAAAGAAACGTGCAAAAAAAACATTGCACCAAGTAAAACAGGATATGATCAGCAAAATGAAAAAAAGGTAAGATGGTACACATTACATATGTGATATGTCACCATGTAGGCGTAATATGTGTTGTTTAAGAATATAGTATCCAGTAGAAGATGTGATGGTACCTGACTTGAGAACAAAGAGTTGGGTACTGTGAAAGGAAGCTTTTCTGGACTCATCATCAAAGTTGAAGTAAGTCCTATTTCGAGTACCGTGCCTTCTATTGACCCAGCCTACAAAGGAAAATGTTTTACTTAGGGAGTCTATACATGCTACACAATTATAAAGCAATACAAGATAATAATTGGCCTGTGAACATGCATTATTATCTGCAAACATGAACTTCAGGAGAAATAAGGTAACATCTGGCTCACATCAGGATAAACAGATGAAACACTTACTCCTCACTCCTCAGGGACACATCTAACAGTAACATGAGATACTTGACACATTCATAACCATTATTTAGGGACAGTATATTTATTCATCAAAACAAACGCGGTGGTCATAACTATAAAAGTGGGTTTTCATGTCTCGGGTCAACTTTGTTTCCTCCTCTCGTAAAGCCTCTCAATTACCACGAATAGGTAGCTGGTATCACTTTACTGGAGATGTTGTTTGTAATCCAATGCTTTAACACTGTAAGAGATGAGCTCTATTTCTCCTCAGGGCATGGATCAAGCACATATCCTAAGCTTAAGATGAACATCTTCTATTCTCCTAGGGCATTTGATAATCATGAGCTCATATTACCAAATGTCATGGATTGACAATTTACTAGCACCAACTAGTGCCTACCACATGGCAAACATTTGTCATTTATATCAACATCTATGTATACTAGTAAAACAATTACACATGCAGTCCCAGGTAAACAAAATTTCGTTGTACATATGGTACACTCATGGTTCGAACAATGTATGTCCAGTAATCACATATACAAATATATGATAAGGCACCTTTATGTATTCTCCAACTGAGAATGGCCTAGAAAATTGTAAGGAGAACCCATTCAACACGTTGCCCAAGACATCTCTAGCAGCAAAAGCCGTAGCAACACCTGCAGTGCACATCAGTGTAAAAAGGATTTTAGTTTTGTTCGGAGTATTAACTACTGAATCTAGAAATATGAGGAGTCCTCACATGGAAGAAGAAATAGTGCATGCTGTAGTATTTACACACAGATTACTGAAGACTGTAATATTTCCTAACAAGATTTCTGCATTATAGCATGCATAGCATAAGTATACATGAGTTATCGAAGATCCATATTACGCAGCTATTGGAAAGGACCGAAAGGTCCAACACGGCTACATTCCTTATTGTCA